ACATGTCGTCAGGTGATTATTGCAGAAAGAAAGATGCATTGATGATTTTGAAAAATATCACACTATGCAAAATTATTAATAAATTAATTTAGTATTCATAATTTTATCATCAATTGATGCGTTTTTATATTCTCTTTTGGAACTCCCTGAACCTTTCCCTGACCGCGCCCCAAAGTGATTGGCATTCGACTGTTCTGGCACAGGCAACCATGAATTTGTTTGCACTTAAAAAGGTTAATTTAATTCAATTGAATAATTTAACTAAAAACATGAAACATTTCTTTTGGAAATTTTTATTTTTATTAATCAGGTTGATGTGTGATGAACGCCTGTCCAAATGCTAAAATTTAGATAAGCATTCGTGGGGAGGGATTGTTCGGTGGGCCCTGGATAGCTCAATGGTTAATAGCAGTTGCCTGGAAAGCAAAAGATCCGTGGTTTCGATTTCTGGTCCAGTGTTAATCCAGCGGGTCCAATATTTTTTTACGAATCTTAAATTTGAGGGCTCGTGTCCGGGATGGAAGTTTGTTTTGTAACATGCTCTTCAATTATGCAGCAACACACAAAAAAAAAATTAAAATAAAGATATATCATAAAGAGAGGTTAGGACGATAGTAGCGACGTTGAACGGTCTATTAGAGAACTAAGTAGAGGTCCTTTAAGTGCCCAGCAACTTAGGGGGTAGAATGTTGGACGAAAAACTCAATGAACATTGAAAAATAAAATAAGAAAAAAGAAAAATCTTAAATAGGGATACCCCATTGAAAATATATATCGAAAAAAAAAAAATAAAAATAAAAATTATAATAAGAAAAAGAAAGAGTATATAAGAATAAGAATATGAAAAAAGAAGAAAGAAGGAAAAAGAAAAACATAAATGAAAGGCAAAGAAAGAAAGAGAAAAAAAAATGAAATTTACGAATGTACCGACAAGGAGTAGTAGTACAGAGTCGCGCGACAGCTAGCTGTATACCGTCGTCATCTAACGAAAAACCACCCCCTCTTATTCTTCCTCTCACTCTTACACTCAGCTATTCCGTATATATATCAACGTGTATAACTATACACGGTGTGCCAGGTATAAGGCGGTAAAAGAGCTACGAAAAGAGTGTCGCGTCGATAAAGAGTGGAAGGTGGGGGGGGGTGGAAATAGGAAGAAAGAGAAAGAGAGAAAAATGGTGGTAACGAAGGAGGATAGAAAAAGAGAGAAAAAAGAAGAAGGGGTAAAAATGGAGAGTAGGGAGAAAAAGAGAAGGTGGAGGAAGAAGAGGAGTACGAGAAGTTGAGTTGGTGCAAGAGGAGGTGGCAAGGGAGGAACGAGAAAGGGTGAGGGATAGAGTAGAGGGAAAGGGGGGGAGGAGGTTCGAGCGTGCGCGCATCATATTTAGCAAAGGAGGAGGCACTTCCCTTATTCGTCGTCGTCGAGGGAGTGAAAAACGGGGGTTAGAGAAAGACCGTGAGGAGGGGGCGGATAGAATGAGTGAAAGAGGAAAGGAAAAGAGTAGTAAGAGTGAGAGAGAGAGAGAGAGAGAAAGGGTAGTAGAGGGAGGCGAGGAAGAAAATGACGGATAAAGAAGCGCTCGAGGGATGCTGCGGGAAGACTCCCTTTGTCGAATACTCGGTATTTAACGGAAATACCAGCCGGAATACCTTCGTTCTCGTCCATCTTTTACCCTCTCCTATGACGTACAAGACTCATCCCTTCTTATTCCGGATCCACCCTTTTCCCATCGTTTTCTTACTCTCGCTCTCGGTACACTGTACCACACCTCAATTCTACTATTTCCCTTTTCAATCGCATTTTACGTATGCGTTGTAAAATGTGCCTTGTTACTTTTTTTATTTCGTTTTATTTAAAATTGATTTTTTTTCTTCTTCTTCTTTTTTTTTGCCTTAAAAAGTGTTCAAAACAAATTCGTGTAGAATTTTTGAGTGAATGTTCTTTTTCGAATGGTTTCGTTTTTTTTTTTTGGTCTATTTAGAATTGGATTGGTTTTTCGATTGATTGATTGTAATTTGTATTATTTATATATAGGGAATTTTGACGTTAAGAATTGTTGTAAATCGTGATCAGTATAATAAATAAGTATGTAAGTATACACTTTAGCTACCATTTTCTTTTAATGTTTGTTTTTATTGTGTTTTCTATTTTTCTGTTTTCATTATTTGTCCGTTGCAAGCTTAAAGAAAGAAAGAAAGAAAGAATAATAAAAATAATAAAAAAAAATGCTTTTTAACGTAGTAAAAGTTCGCGCTTTTTTCAAAAGTACCTAACTGGAAATACGTAACGTCGGGGCTGCTCGAGGGCGCCGGAATTACGCGCGGAAACACAGGAACACGTTGACGACAGGGGGTAAAAAGAAAGGTATGAAGAAAGAAAAAAAGAAGAGAAAAAATATATATATATATAGAGAGAAGAACAAAATAAAAAAAAAATTATAAAAGAAAAAGTAAGCAACTATTTTTCCCTTGGAAGAGTCGACTCTTTCTCTCTCTTTTCGTACGCGATATACCTAAACCGAGATCCTTTTAATTATTTTTCCGTAGCACTCGCACCTTGCCCTACTTCCGTTTAACATTTGTTCGAAAACGTGGGCGACAGTCGCTTTAAACTGTTTCAAAGATTACAGTTTACGTTTTTGTTACTTCATCTCGCAGTTTCTTCTGTATGTCTAGTACTTAAGCAAAGCATACAAATACATATGTCGTGTTTGTTTTAAACAAAAAAAAAACAAAAAAAAAACATAGAAAATCTTAAATATACAAAATCCTAAAGCTTTATTTCAATCCTTAAAAATGTCATCCGTGAAATCTTCCGTTAATTTTTTATTTATTTTCTTATGTATAAGATTTCATTCTTTACAACACGTTGATTGACATGTAGGTCACAGGTGATCTCAACACGACTAGTAGTAAAAATACATAATTACAGGAAATATCGATACTGATAAATTTTTAAATAATACCGTTGTTTTTATAAGAATACTCAGAACATGCAAAAAAAATTTTATTAATACAAAAAAAAAATATGCATGACGTGTAACGATGTTTTTTCTGTATATAATTTGCTTGATCAAATGCATCATCAAAATATTTCACTAAATAAATCTTTAACTTTATTTTACAATAGGGTTTTAAAATATTTTTTGAGTTACTTGTGTTTTTATAACACCATTTCATTTACTTTTATTTCAGCTGGCAGATCATATTGTATCTTTTAAACCCGTCGTATAGCATACGATTTTTATTTATAAATAAAGTATCACGTTTATCTTGTTTTGCATTCCTCCCTCAAATCAAACTAATTCTATTTTATTATTTAAATAATTGGAACACTCTGAAATTACCATTTTTTGTATCAAAATACAAACATTGTATACAATTTCTCTGTTTGATTGACAGAAATTGCAACTTTTCCAATATATCATTCATTCTTACTCTAATATTGCAACGTATACAGAAAAAAAGAGTTTTACAGTAAAAAGATTGGTTCTAAAACTGACCTTTGTGGGACTCCCAGATTTATGTGAATGGGATCCGATAAAATTCCATTAAGTTTTACTCTTTGCGATCAACCTTTCAGATAACCCTTAAACAAACTAAATACCTTTTTTTCTCGTACCACTTTATTTTCCTTAGTAAAATATTTCTATTCACTAATTCCAATGTTATTCTTAAGTCTAGTCTTGGATAATCTTTTCCCATTTTGAAACAACTCATTGCAACCCATTGAATGTTCTGCTCTAAATCCAGATTGACATATTTCCAAAAGATTGCTCCTATCCAAATATTGGACTAACTGATCATTCATAAATATTTCTATTATTTTCTTATAAATCGGCAATTTATAAACGCGATCTAAATCCTTCAACTTTTGTTGTTGTTTGTATTTTTGGTATAGGGATTACTGTTTCTTTTCATTCACTCACTTTTCATTCACAAAAATCATTCTTTTCAAGATCTATTATATATGACACATGATAGTTTTACCACTTGTTACCATAACCACTGTTTTTATTGATTTTCACAATTATTCCTTCTTTCCTGACACTTTTGTTTTTTAGTTTACTCACTATTCTAAAGAAAGAGAAGAAATTGTAAGAAAAAGAAAAGATAGAAAAGTGATTTATAATAAATCCAAGTTAAATATAATATAAAGGCACATTCAGATGTTGTATCGATAAATGTTTAATTATTAATAATAAAAATTATTATTACTATTATTATTATTAATTAGCGTTAGGAACTCGAAAGTTCAGAATATACCAAATCCAAAATATATAAATAGAAAAAAATTAAACACCAAATCCTGCCAGTTTACCCTCATCCCTGAGCACAACCTCCCTTCATTTGCAGTTTTCTTACCCCACAATTTATGTATTACAATTTTATCTCAAAACATTAACTTTTTCACACTAGTGGTGTCCCTTAAAATCTTTCTCATCTACTCAATGGTCTTTTCTTGTTAGGTATACCGATTTGTATTTTATCTGCTGTTCGCTCTTCCCCCATGCATTCCATGTGACCTGCCGATCTTAATCGGTGTGATTTTACGACGTTAACGATGTCCTATTTGTTATACAATTTGTGTATTTTTACGTTATGTAGTTTTCTCTATTCACTTGTTTCCTCATCACGTCTTGTTTGCACCGAATATTTTACGAACAACTTTATTTTCGAATACCCTAAAACTCTTTTCGTCCCGAAACCTAAGTGACCATGTTTAGCTACCATTAAGGACTATCAGTAGGATGATCGTTATGTATATGACAGGTGTTTATTACTTAATGTTGTCAAATTACTACCTATTTAATTACTAGATATTTAAAATGAATTTATATTAAGGTTATCAATTTTAAATTGAATTATTATATATATATATTAAATAACATGAAGTGAATTAGACATATTTAATTGTTCGATTTTCCTTTCAAATTTCTTATTAAAAAATATGAAAATAGTTGTTAGAAATAAAAGAAAATAATAACACAGATACTTACCAAGTCTTTTAGATATTTCACTATTGTGCATCTTTGGATTATCTTGTGCAATCTTCCTACGTTGTAGTCGTGACCAAACCATAAATGCATTCATAGGTCGCTTGATATGTTCAACTTGTGCCTTCTTGACCCCAGCAGGACCGAGAGGGCTGCCGAGGGCAACCCCCATAGGGCTGACCCCTGCGGCACCGGGTGGTGATGTTCCAGGAATACCCGGCATATTACGAAGACTGTCTGCGAACGAGCCATCGCACATGCTACCGCCGGCTCTGTAATTAAACGCGTAGACACTAATTAGTAAAGGGCCTACAATAGTCAGGTTAACTTGTCACGCTCATTACAATTAACATTTGTTAGGTGTATGGTGTATCCCATTTCAAAATATTATTATTTTTGCAAATGTGTTTAAGTTTACGTGATTTATGTTATACATTTTAAAATATTATTATTTCTTTCATATTATTATTGTTATTATTATTAAATTATTATTAATTATATTATTATATTTTAAATTAGTATTATAATGTCGACCAATTTTAAAATTAAAGAATGATCAAACAATATTATCTTATCGAACGTGTTTAAGTTTACGTGGTTTTTGGTATACGTTTTAAAATATAATTTTTCTTTAATATTATTATTATTATTATTATTATTATTATTATTAGTTATATTACTATTATCATTATATTTAAAATTGGTTCTATAATGTCGACCATTTTCAAAATTAAAGAATGATCAAACAATATTATCTTTTGGAACGTGTTTAACTTTACGTGATTTTTATTATACGTTTTAAAATATTATTTTTCTTTCATATTATTATTATATTATATCACTATTAATTACATATTCATTATATTTAATATTAGTTCTATAATACCGACCAATTTCCAAATTAAAGATTGTTCAAACCATGCAACATCTTTTTATTTTTTGCAAATCACATAATTCTACCAAATGCAACAATGATAAATCAATCAGTAAGCAACAAACAATACTAATAATACTAATTACTTATTAGTTTCAATGTTGTTTAATTCAATTAGTGAATAATTAAATCTTATAATTTGCTAGTATAAAAGCCATTAAACAATTCCTGAGTATATTAAGAAATGCATGCATTAGTGAGATCGCGAGTGGATGATGTCAAACCTCTTTTTTCGTTTATTATTTTTTTTCTTTTCTCTCGAGCGAACCCCTAAATGTCACCCCTAAAAACCCGAAGGGTTTGCTTGAAGAAGAAGAAGAAGAAGAAGAAGAAGAAGAAGAGAGAATCTACTGTCGTTCCTTTTCTATCATCTTTACCATACCATATCTATCTCTTATTCCCTCTTTTTAACTAACACAATTACAACGCGAATCTCTCCTTGAGTATTCATTAAAAAGAGAAGTAGAAGAAAGAAGAAAGAGGATAGGCGTAGTGGTCGTAGAAGGGAAAGAGAGAAAGAGAGAAAGAGAGAAACTCAGGGCTGTAGTTACGATTTTGTAGGGTTAAAATCACCCTACAAAAAAAAGGGTGGGAGCCACCCTCGAGTGTCATTCAACGAGGATTAATAGATACGTCGGTTAACGTGGGCGCACACGACGGGGGTGTACGAGGGGGGTTACTCATTCACTATGGGGATGGGTGGGGAGTTTTGCCGAGGTTTGGTGGTGGTGCTCGTCGTAAAAAGGGAGAATTCGACTACACTATAGTGAAAGAAAGAAACAAGAGAGAAAGAGAAAGAGAAAAGATGAGGGTTGCGTTTGGTTTGTCGCCGAGAAGATGCTGGAAGTAATGGTTGTTGTCAAGAAACGCACTAGGGGGGCATTAGGAAGCGCTAATTGAATGTTTTGCCACGGCACGGCGGATATCTACCAAACGATTCGAATGATTTCGACTAGAGTGGCTCCATTCAAGGGAGAAAGAAAAAGAGAGAGAAGAGAGAGAGAGAGAGAGAGAGAGAAGTCGTGATTCGATTCGCACATTTTTCACGGTTCACCACGATTACTCTGATCCGATTATTATTATTTTTGTTCTTTTTAGTTTCTTTTCCAATTTATATGTCACGCTCGTTTATTTACGATTAACGATCATGATCGGTAACATCGTATAAAATGATTCGATATCGTTCGCTCGATTTAACACTCACATGTTTACATAATTTTTTCTTAGTGTAATCAAATTTACACGTCTTTTAATTCAATGCAATATCGTACAGACTTTGAATTTATTCATAATCTATTTCAAAATTATTAAACAAATTAAGGTAATTTGTTTAAAAAGTGATAAACTCGATAAACTGACGTTTAAGTTAGTGAGTGTTAAAAGAAATAGAATTGAATAGATTTGATTGTTCGAATAGTTTTTATGATGGAATTATGCGAAAACACAAGGACGATTCTTTTACCGTCGCTTCCGTACTATTGTGTTTCAACTAATTCGTTTTAAAAAAAATTATCTTTTTTATATTCGTTAAATATTTTGTTTGTTTTCTTTTTACGATCAGTTTCTATGTATTTTTTTTTTTTTTTTGTATGTTATAAGCTATTGTATAATTCTATTTCTATTCTTAACATTTCAATTTTGTTAAAAGAAAATTCATCAATATATTTTTGTTTTCACAGTTTCTTTTTTTGACAGAATGTTAACCAGGTAACTCGTGAATAAACCTTTTCTGTGATTCTTATATAGTACTTTTCTGATTTGTAAAATTACAAGTATTTAATTCTGCAATTCTGAGTAATACGAAACGATAATAGAAAATGAAACGTGTAATGATATGGTGTATAATAACTACGATAGAATGAGTATAAAATAATATCTTGAAAAAGACATTAACCTCATATAATGGCCGGCGGCACGTTGATGTAAGTCCAGCTCAATCTTGGTGCCGTTTTTGAGACTGTGTCTCAAATAAAGTTTGTTTAGTTGATAATGTGTCAGTTAATTTCACTCCCGTATTGGCTACGCTCTCGTGCACGTGCTTTCTCACTTTGCTTGGTATAGGTAATATATCCCTTTCGAATTTCACGTTGGAAGGGTCACGTTTTTTATTGGTTATCACCTCCGGTTTATATCGATTAGCTGAATTTATTTGAAACAATTTAATTAATCGATTAAGCTTAATGTGAATTACTTTTTTCGTTTGTGTTAATTTTGTTTGTATTTTGTTGTATAATTTATAGACATTTGATAAATTGTTATATAAATGAAAAACAACAGCTAGCACGTGGTCAGTTTTGTTATCATTTATTTCGTGTAGATTTTAATTTTTATTAAGTCTTCAAGATATAAGAATTCTTTTCAGCTTTTATAGTTAATTCACTATTATAAAACTGCAATAATAATGGTCAGGAATTTGAATTCAATTACGATACGATAAAACAATAACAATTAACAAAACGGATAATAACAAAAATAATAAAACAAAATCACTACACTTTAGTCCGATTAGTCCAAGTTCACTTGTAGTAGTACAGATGATTGTTCCTTAATAATCTTCTTAAATGATGTAACACTTGTTTCACGTTTTCCAAAATGTCCAGATAACAGTGTAATCCACGATATCTAAATAGTCATAAAGTTGTATCGATGTTAATATTCTCTCTTGATCGTATAGAGAATTAACATAAGATCATACGTATGATCATAGAATTCCGAACAATAACAAAATCACGTTCCATCTTTGATAATACGTACGTTTTTACTCCGATGACGACGTAACAATTTAAATAATAGTAATAATAGTAATAATAATAATAATAATAATAATAATAATAAGAAGAAGAAGAAGAATTAAGTATTTAGATTTATATTTATTATTAAAAATGGTAAAACTTTATATGATAATTTTAAGATAAAATGAGAAAATATATACTTCGATGAGAACATCAGGAAACAACGGAGCACGCGAACCGTAGAACTTCCTACGGGAACGGCAGATTAAGAAGTGAATCGCGCACGAAAATTTCCGAACAGAGGGGCTCAGTTCGAAACATCCCGTAGTCGTTGGAAGCCGTTCTCGAATTCCCCCACCACATTTTCTGAATCAGCCACTAAGGTTGCAGTTGAGCGGGACTTGAATAACTGCGACTGGCAATCGCGACAAAAGGGTAGGCGTGGCTATTTCACCGACGACCTACGTCGCGTTTTGATTGGCTCTCCTTGGCATTTTCGTCGATATAAGTTTAATTCAAACGATGGGATACGTTGCTTGTCGAATTCACCTTTCCTACCTTTCTCTCTCTCTCTCTGTCTCTGTAACTCTCTCTCTTATGAACAAAACGTCCCGCGAACTCTTCTCCATTCTCCTCGTCTTCTCTCGTCGAGAGAGAATAAGTACTGTATATTCTTTTTTTTTTTTTTTATTCTTATTACATTTGTGGCAACCTTATCTTCTAAACTAACCGGACTTAATTATCATTTAAACGGTAATCCTCGTGTTTCCATTTTTAACTTATAATACTCACGATTACATATAATAACTTTCGCATATCGACTAACACAACATCGATACGTTCAAACAAATTAATATAATTGAATAAATAAATAAATAATTAATCGTCATTTGTATTTTATGATTAACAATGAATCTCGTAATATATTGGGTTGTCCGGAAAGTTTGTGCCAATTTTGACGAAAGATTGAAACGCAATGCATTTAAGCTTTTTTTTGGGGGTATATGTTTATTAAATTATATATAAGTGCCATTTTGTTCCACAATCTTTCTCCATCTTTAAGGATACCTAACTTCAAAATTTTAGCCTTCCACAACTTTTCAGGTTTTTTTAGTAAAACAACTTTATGCCACTTATCGAAAATCGGCACGAACTTTCCGAACAAGCCAATAGATATTTTTAATTTGTTTTATAATAAATCAATCATTACATTAGGACAAATATCAAAAACTGTCAAAGAAATTTCACGAAATTTCAGTTCGTTTCAGCTGACGAAACTATTAGTGGTGGGGATGGTTACAATGATGGGGGAGGGGATAAGAAAAAGAAAAGGAAGAAGAGATGGAGAAGGATATGTTCGTAATGGTGGTCGATCGTATCATCCAATTTACATTCAAGAGAATATTATGCATTTAAGAATGAAAATAAGAAAGTGACTACTTTCTCTTTTTTTTCGGCCTTTTTCTTTTTTCATCTTTTTCTTTTTCTTTCTCTTTTTCTTTTTCTTAAAGACACCTATTCACATTCTTAACTTTAGCTCTCCATCTTCTACCATTTTCTCGGTCCTCTTTCCCTTTTTACTCTCTTTCACCTCTTGTACTTATTTTCTTCTATCAGAGAACGAATAAAATGGTTCGCTACTCGTACAAGATGGTTGCTCTTTCTGTACTCCTACGATGAGGTTAAAGCGAATGAAAGATTTTTTTTTATTTTTTTTTTATTAACAATATCATTTATGCGATATTCTCTTGAAATTATTTAATATTAAAATTATAAATGGTTATAATTATTGTATACTTCTTTCTAATATATAAATCTAATTATTAAATTTATTATTAATTAAATTAATTAATCAAATTTAATTAAATATTTTTAGAAGATAATAATTTCAATAATTAAATTTAAATATCAAATTTAGTGAAATATTTTTAGAAAAAAAAAAAAAAAATAATTTGAATAATTTTATTAATTATACAAATTTAATTAAATATTTTCAGAAGACAATAAATTTAATAATTATTTTTTTTATCAAATAAATTATTAATTAAATTAAAAAATTTTATAATATCAAAAATTCGATTAATTTTAACCGGTAATTTTGATAAGGTTCAATGATTTTAATGTTAAATCAACAATTTAACTTTGAAACTCTAAACCCATTTTGTGTTTTTTTCTTTATCGAAAAAATATATAATTATACTTATATACGTAAAAATTTGCTACGTCAATGGAACAAAAATAAAATGGTTCTCGTTAATGGCGTCACGAAGTGGCGCAGATTACAAAAGATTTTATAGAGCGTTCGATGTCTGTGTATTTTGTATATGTAGACACTCGATTCCACCCTCTATGGGTCCATCGATCGCCTCTTGTTTACTCCCAAGGGCCAATGAGGGTACATCGTCATAGGCGACGATTGGATTTCGAGTCTACAACCGTCGTCGATCTAATAATTTAATCGTTACCACTTCAACCTACTTCGATCTAATCTCCCTTCTTCGAATTATAGGATTTAACAATTCGTACAATTGTTTTATGGTTAATTTATTTCTATAAAAATTGTTTCAACAACATTTAATATTAGAATGTTAAAAGTTTTCAAAAAAAAACAAATCAATTGTACAATATTTACTTATATTTATTTTTGTTTTCAATTTTTGTATTTTTATTTAAAAAATGAATGAGATTTAATATATGTGTGTCTCGAATTATTAAATAATTAATAATTGTATTATTGATATCTATTTACAATTAAAATGGTACGTACTATGGATAGGTACTTATGAAACGTGCCAACGTTGTGAACTCAGTGTTTATCGTTAGAAAGATTTATTCGTTCTGACAACTACCCTTCGAGTTTGAAAGCAAGGACGTGCACGTGTTCTCTCTCTGTCTCTCTGTCTTTCTATTTTATTCCATGGGACATTGTTGTACGCGTCGTGGAACATGTAACGTATGAATATCTAATGCACCCCATCCACAATTAAATTCGGACAATATGTTTTGTTTCGAGAAGGGGTGGAGGAACGTTCACCACCCTCTCGAACTAAGGACACGAGGGGTGAGGCTTTCCGAAGGGGGGTTCTATTGCTCGAGGGATGCTTGGCCCTTCTCCCTTTTGCCACCCTCCTCGACATTGAATAACACCCTAAGTGTAAATCTTACCGTATGTGTCTATGTACCCACATAGAGCACGTAGATAATAAGTTTGACCAAACGAGGTTAGTGTTTGCGAGATTCTTATCAATATTAGCTTGATCAATTTTCAATATTTTATTTTCAGATAATTGATTTATTGCATGGACTTAAATTGTTTTTTTATTTTTCGAAAATTTCTACACACACACATGTTATATTAACCCCTTAAGTTGCACGCTCGAATTAACTCGAGCGGTGTTGGTATTCTATGCTGCTATAAAAATTTTGATTAATTTTTTACTTTTTAAATTTTTTTTCCCCAAGACAATGTTCTAAATTGTGTTTTTTTTTACATTAAAAAAAAAATTGATTTTTTTTGGCCGGTAATTTTTTTTTTTAAATGTGCACTAAAGGGTTAATCTTATTAAATTAAATTAAAATGATGAGCTATAGTGAGAGATGAGACAATTTATTATTTTATATATATATGTATAATAATTCTTTATTTCTTATTTTTTTTTTTTTATTGTAAAGTATTTTTCTAATAACTTTATTTTTTTTTACATCTATTTTTTTAGAGTATTAATTAATTAATTAATAATACAAATTTAGCTACACAATATGTTGCATAGCAAACAACTTAAGGTGTGAATTATAATAATACTCGATTCGAATATTAAAAGGAATATTCAAGAAAACCATAGAATTCAAGAACACACTCAAAGAATTTTCGAGAGACATCGATTCGACACAATAAATTGTTATTATATAATTAATAATTATAAATAAAAGAACATAGGATAAATCATATTTTTTGTAAGATTTTACAATATATTTATTAATTTTTAATTTACTTTATTTAATATTTAATATAATGTTTTTCATAAAATATAATAAAATGTTATAGAATAATATAGTAAATATCTATAATTTAAATTAATAATAATTTATTTTGTAATATTTTGTGTTACTTTAAACAACTTAAATGTAAAGATGTAAAAAAGTGAAGTAAAATTGACAAAAAAAAAAGAAAAAAGAAATAAGTATAAGTGATGTAAAAATTACGACGAAGAGTTCAGTACTTCAGATCATACCTTTGCAGCTAAGTAGGTGGCAAAAGTTAGTGAGTCACCCTGTATAATATAAATTCCATCAGGAAAAACGTGTTGTGAATCTAAATTATTGTATTATTTACAATTTTAAAAGTTCTTCAATTCTTATAAAAAATATTTTATGGTTGGTCACGTTTTAAGGCAATATAAGGAAAATTAATCTTCTCTTTACGTTGAAAGGATTTTTTTTATTTCTAAGAAATACAAAAATCTAGACAAATAACCTTTGTTAGTTTTTTTATTGTAAATTTATTTATCATTTTTTTTTTTTTTTATGTAAATTTTGATCGTCAAAGGCCTTTTTTTATATATTCTATTCTTATTCGATATTCAAAGAAAGAAAAAAAAAAAGAAAAAAGAACAGGTAAGTTTTCTATAGAAAGAAAAAACAACCTGTCGATATTATTATTTATTCACCATCATTTTTTATGTCTATTTCTTTCTTTGTTCGACTATACTTTTCAAAATAATCATACAGTAAGTAATTTGATGACTAAACTAACATTCTTTTTAGAAAAGAAAAGTTTAAAATAAGAACGAAAAAACAAAAAAATGTTGAAAAAATTAGACTGATCACAAATATTTAAAATATCTTTGATTGAAAAATATAATTACAGTTTATATTAAAACCACCTTACTCAGATTTCTAAGTTAGTTTTATTTTATTTTTTTTTTCTTCTTCATTTTATTTCGTTTCTTTCTTTTTATTTTTATATTCATTATACTTTCAAACACGAATCAATTGTATTGATGAGTTATGTTTGATTATTTTTTAACTTTAATAAGTCCATGACTGATTAAAAAATTGCCAC